TTTTAATCTGAAAATGTTTACTTTCATCAGGCCCTCACTACCTTTCTCCCAGGTTCAAAGGTCCCCAAGGAGACTTCACACCTGTTCCTCTGACAAAGGTAATAAGATATAAGAAGGCAGGAAAAAGTTCTGATTTTAACAACTTACAAAGTGACTGACAAAGTGTAAGAAATCAAAAGCTTGATCACGTGACTTCAAATAGTAATTCCAGTGGCACAACACTGCCAAAATCATTTATTCCCATTACATACGATTTCATTCACCAGAAGCAGCTACAAAGATGCTGATTTTTAACTTTTTTTTTTTTTTTTAAACAAGAGAAAGATAACTGACTGCTGAGAGATCTGCGGGCGTCAATCAAAATCATGACTGATCATGTGTCTGACATTTACAAGAAACTAGTCATTCTTCAAAGTCTCACCCTTACTCTTCTCAAAGCACTGTGGAAAATACATTTCTGGCTACTATTCTGTGAAAAGGAAGAAGTAAATTCTGAAATGATCAAAATTGCATCTCAGTTTTATGATTCAAGGCAAATACTGGCAGAAGCACACAGGACACAAATTCTTATAGAGTTTACAAAATGTCTAAAAACTAAAAAAAAAAATAGCACACTTTAAAAATTCCGCCTTTTGCAAGTATTTCCACATCAGGCCAACCAAGACACTCGACACACTACAACCTGGGTGCCAAACCATCAGGTGTCCGTCCACCAGGCACTGCCACACGCTATCACGCTGAGGTATGGCTCGGAGTAGAATCCGGAAGGAACTGCAAATGTTTGCAAGCATTTTGATGCACAGCAATAATGCCCTGTGGAATTTCAAAACTTTCCCTTGACACAGGAAACTGAAGGGCTTTAAAGTGATTTGACAGAGGATCTTTAGATCATGGCAGTTCATGGATTTGCTAAAAACAAACAAAATATGGGCCACCAAGGACTGACTCAGGATCCTGAAAAGTCCAAAATGTATTACCAATGAAAATACATAATAAAAACCCCCCAAAGGTAGCAACATGAACTGCCTGAGAGTATAAGAAAACCTTCAAGTTTAATAGCAAATATCCTCTGGCAATAAGTACTGGAGAAAAGGTAAAACTACTTGTACTTTCACATTGTTCTTGGAGAATCTATTCAAATTGCTTTTACAAGTACTCCCTGGTAAAAACATGGGAACAGAAGAGGCTGCAGCACATTGTAAATTGTGCCTATCTCTCTTACGAAGAAATGTAAAGAGCCGCCTCGGATGAGACAAGATCATTCTAGAAAGTGGAAGTACTGGCACAAGACAAGACAGCAGATAGGAAAACAGAAGCCTTCTCTCATTTCCTCATGGATTAGACTTGGACACAGCACAGAATAACTATGTATCTTATATAATGCATTAAAGCAGGGTTTATTAACTTAAATGATTAGATTTAACATGTAATATTAAATGCAAGGGAAAAAAGAACAGTTCAGGGACTCAACTTACAACAACCCAGAAGCAGAGTCCAATTTACCACAGAAGAAAACTACATTTTTGATGACTTTAGTTTTCCAATATTCAAAACTTTCTTTAAATATTTTCATACCAATATCCCTCTTTATTTTGATGTTGTAATATACTTTTAAAAAAGCAAACATTTTAGAACAGTTTTATGTTTACAGAAAACTTGCGAGACAGCAGTGAAGTGTCTCTGTTCCCCACACCTGGCCGTGAAGTCAGCAGTTCTTTGTGAAGTCCAGACCCCACATGCTCCCACACACAGGGCACACCTGATCCAGGGGGTTGGTTCTGACTAAAACACATAAAAACTACACCCACCACCTCACAAACACCTCCAACTACCACTTTTTTTTTTTTTTTTTTTTTTTAAGAAAAAGATCTTAAATGTTTCCTTTACAACATATCTTAAACTTCTTAGATTACGGACAATGACTCTTCAAATTTTTTTTTAAATTGTGCCCTTCACCCAGACTTTCCAATTATTAACTTTCTGCCACATTTCCTTTATCTCTTTCTACAAAACACACACAGTTGTTTTAAGCACTGAGAGTAAAGCTGCAGCCGTCATGCCACTTAACCCTTCAACATGTACTTCTCAGGAACAAGTGCATTCACTTCCATAACCATGATAAAATAATCATAGTCAGGAAACAGAATATTGCTATATTACTACCTAACCTCACTCAAATTTCTCCTGTTAGGCAAAATGCAATGTCCCTTTTCAACTTCTTTGGCCTAGATCCACAGTGCACAAATGTTTTTCAAAAATAATGATCTAAAAGGTCTTCCAAGGAAAAGCAAGGCTACTACTCATCACTGCATGAAGATAAAGCTTCCTTTCTAGGGTCAAAATCAAAAGCATCTTTCCTTATAACTTTGCTCTCAATAAACACGCAGTTTTCTTGGCTGGCCAAAACTCAGGGAACAAAAGCTCTCTCTTCTTGGTTAAGAAGAACAATAGGTCACTTTACAGAAATTTGGACGAGTCTCTTGCGCTCCCAGAAATATCTTGGAAGAAGTTATACAAAAAAATGTAAAATTCTTATCAATTTGTTTATCATTTGTCTTCAGGTTGGCAAAAGTGGATCAATAACATTAAAAATTCAAAGTCTAAATAAGTACTTAGGAGTTGAGAGTCAAGCTAGCATCAAAAAGTTGCAATCTAGGGGAGGAGGCGGGAGAGGGATCAGAGGGAGGGAGGGAGGAGCACAGGGGTCTGAGGTGATGGTGCGGGGGTGCACTAGGGAAGGAAACTATGGGGACTACACCTGAGGGGTATGGGGAAGCAAATATTGTTTAAAAATGAACAATGATGTATAAAATAAAAACAAAACAAAAAAATGAAGATTGTAATTTGGTAAATTAAAGAAAGTTACTTCTGAAGTAAAAAAAGAAAGCTGCAATCTAGAAAGTGTTTGGACTGCATGAATCTACTGGGCCTTAACAGAAGATGGTTCTTAGCTGGCAGTCTGCCGTATTATGTAAGTTTGAATATCGCTCTTACACAAAGAAAATCAACATGTTTCTTCAGCAATACAATGATAAGATCTAAACTAGCACAGCATCACTGCATGAACTAAAAACCAATTTAAATATATTTCCAGTCACCTTAGACCTAAAACAGCATACCATTCTCTTTTTCTAAAAAGGGGAAGAGGGTAAAGCATTAAAAAAATTTCCAAACAGTGTGATGCTTCTGTTTTAAAACACTCGCCTACCCATCCATCCGTACCTTTGGCTTTCGGAGAATGTATGTATGAAAGTATTAACACTAAGTCATCTCTGGCTGATTAATGCATGGAATTTTATTCTTTCTGTTATTCTAACTTTTCACAATAAACATGTGTGACATCTAAATTTAAAAGTACTTTTGAAGATTTAGGGCTTTACAATGAAAGCAACAAAACTATCCAAAGAAAAAATAGAGGGGATGGGAGGATTGGGTGAAGGGGGTCAAAAGGTAGACACTTCCAGTCATAAGATAAATGAGTCCTGGGGATGAACGTAAGCATGGTGGTTCTAGTTTAAAACATGGTGTTGCATATTTGGAAGTTGCTGACAGAATAGATCATAAAAGTTCTCATCACAGGAAAAAGTCTTTGTAATGGCATTTGGTGCCAGGTGTTAAAAGTGGCTGGAGGTGACCCTACCGTGTGCCATCACTGTGCTGCACACACCTGAGAATAATGACTCGCTGCATCAATTATGCCTCAATTAAAAGACAGAAACAAAGAAGAAAAAATGAGGATATTTTTGTAAATAATGAATATGATAAAGTCAGAAACACCCTTCATTATACAAGGAATAAACAGAATTTGAGAAGGCTGACTCATGACCTGCTGTGGACAAGCGATAAAAAATAATTTATAAGACTATTACACTTGCCAAAAATAAGATTACAGAACTGTGGGGTTGGAAAAAGATTCAAAGAAGTCACTAAGTGCAGTGCCCCATCCCCTTCCAGCTGATATCTGATTATGGAAATAAAAATTAGAACAAATTGGGCTTCCCCAGCGGCACAGTGGGTTGAGCACCGTGCTGTGAAGCTATCCGCAGCCTCTGCAGCGTGGGTTCGATTCCTGGTTGGCCAGGGAGCTACCCACATGGCGCGGCAGACCTCTCCTGTTGTGCCCGCTGCTCCCCTCAGCAGTGCTTTTGGTCAGTCTGCCTGTTCTGCTCCCCACTCTGTCTCTAGTGAGTCCGCTCACCTTCCCATGCATCTGTCCTGTACGCCAGCTACTGTACAAATAAAAAATAAATCTAAAAAAAAAAAAAAGACCAGATTTAAAAAAAAAAAAAAGACCATTTATCTCTGAAATACTTCTCATTTTGAATCCTTATCCTGATGTCCACAGTGTTAGTAAGCTCTCTACTCAAGTGGTTATCTCTTTTGACCGTTTAGGTTCTGCAACCACCAAGTAACACTAGCACTAATCAACAGATTACTATACTTTGCTGGAGCCTTTTGCCAGGTCGCCACGAACCAGCATCATCACCTACTCCAAAACCCACCGTGATCAAATGATACTAGAGGTCAGGTTCTTGAGAAACCCAGGGCTCTTCTGGAAGAGTTGCGACACACTGCCAGGTGTGCAAGGAGGAGGAACTCTGGGAGAACACAGCTCCCCAAGAGAAACTGCAAAGCCTGGGCAGTTATGGTGCAGACACACAAGAGAACATTGAACTCATTTATTAAGACAAAGTATAAATAAGAGACAGAAACATGGCCAGCATTTATAGTATAAAGCGGAAATCTATGGCATAAAATACCACATAAGTAGCAGTCATGACTTAACATGAGGTCATCGTCTAAGAATACATCAGCTTTTAAAAATATGTGCTAAAATATCATTTAGAAATATAATTCACCTCCAAATCCCTCATCTTTGAGGTATCCCCATCTAGCCTATTTGCTCAATTCAATCTCTCTCATTTGTTTTACTCTCCTGTGCACATTCCTGCTCATCCTACAATTAAAATTTAAAATAATCAGCACGACAAGTTTCCTACCTAATGCATGACTCTGACTCTGGTGAGGACAGTGCTTCTTCCTGAATGTCAGTACAACTGGAAGAATCATCTGCCCCATCAGGCTCCAGTTTCCCTGGGGAGTCCAGCTTTGACTGAGGGCAGCGGTTGGTAACTGAGGGCGTACCTGAGAATTTCATTTTATTATCTTCCTGTCCTAAAAATGGAAAAAAGAAATGAATGAGAAAAAGAAACATTTAAGAGTACCTTAAAATCTACAACCTCATTTGTTTATTATTTCCACAATATTTAATATTGTTATTTGTACCAAGCAAAACAAAAGTTTATGTTAACATTGATCCCAAAGCTCTACAAACAGCCAAAAGATAAGAATCAGCACTGCAAAAGTGCCATCTAACTACATCTTTAACCCCATGTATTTCCAAATTAATTAACTAAGAACAAAACTTCCTTGAAAACCAGGAATGGGCAGAACCTTATAATTCTCATTAGGATTCTAGTTACAGGATTACCAAGGAATTCCTGCATATTCCACAGCTCAGAGAACACTGACAAATACAAGCAGCACAGCAAGGAAGGAATAAAGACTCAATAAGAAAACCACAATATTGGCTACTTGGTAGTACTATCTGGACAGTTTTCTTAATCTAATCTAATTAATATAATCCAATATCCACTATAGAAAAGGAAAACTAGTCAGACATAGCCAATGTTTCCAGTTGATTCAATTCATCACATCTCTCTGTATCCCTTGTCACCCCTTGTCATACTCTCATTTTCTGAGATTTCTTATTGCAGATAAAATCCAGTGAAGCTGGAGGGCTGTTAGCCAAAGGGTTTGCAAGAGCGTGACATGCAGGTATGATCAAACATTTTCAAGTATGAGTGCAGAAAATATTATCTGTGAAGGGTTGTTTGGTGCCCAAGTCTCTCCCTCTAGATCTGTTTCTTCAGGACTCTGATGGGATTTCAACTGTGCTGTTTTTAAGACTCAGAAACTGAGTGAGGACTTAAAATGCATCCCACATGTGCTCCAAGCACAAATCCCCATCCACGAGCCTCCACACAGAGGAGCAGAGCAGCCTTCGCACATCACCCTTCCAATGCCATGGCAGAGGCCAGAGACCTTTAACAGAGGACTCAAAAAAGAATTATCAAGGTTTTGTCTGGAAAAAGTTTAGGACAAATCCTTCAAAAAAGTTTAAAAACTATTCCCAATCAATATTCTAAGATTTTTCCAGAAATAATTTGTTTTTGTTGGAGAACAGCATACATCACAAAAGTACAGTCTGTCTGTAAAACTGGGCTTTCAATAAGTCTACTCATTACCAGAACAAAACTGCACCCTCTATACTGATCTGGGAATGGGAAAAAGAAGCCAACCAAGACGACCATCCAGGATCTCCAGGATTCTCTCTTACACACACACACCCAAGATCACATTCATGAACAAATTCAAATTGTCCACAAAGCTCATGAGGAATGTACTTAGCAATTTACTAAATGACACCAGAAAATTTTAGGACAATAATAAGGCAATAATACCTAAAAAATAAAATGCTTAGGAATAAATCTAACCAAGGCAGGTGAAAGACTTAAACAGTCAAAAGTACAGAACATCGTTAAAAACAATAAAGATATAAGTAAGTAAAAGGCATTCTATGTTCATGGATTGGAAGATTTATTATTGTTAAGATGTCCAAAGAAATAAAAGCAGTCTGTGGATTCAATGCAACCCCAAGGGTATTTCTTGCAGAAATAGAAAAATCCATCCTAGAACTCACTTGGAATCTCAAGGGACCTAAATAGACAAAACAATCTTGAAAAAGGAGAATAAGAAATAAAGGGACTCATACTTTCCAACTTCAAAAGTTACTACAAAGCTATTTAAACACCAGTTATTTAAACACCATATGTAGTCAAAAGGACAGACATACAGAACAATGAGACAGAACACAAAAATAAACCCTCACATATTTGGTCAACTGATTTTCGACAAGCATGTTAAGACCATTCAGTGGAGGGTCTCCCTGGTGGCCTAGGGGTTAAATGTCAGCACTATCACCTCTATGGCCTAAGTTCGATCTCTGGCCAGGGAACTAACCTGCATATGATACAGCAGACCTCTTCTGTCTTGCCCGCTGCTCCCCTTAGCAGTGTATTACAGAAAATCCACCTGTTCTGCTCCCCTCTCTGTCTCTAGTGAATCCTCTCAGCCCGCCCCCACCCTGCCCCACCCCTCTGGCCTATACTCCAGTTCTACACCAAAAAAAAAAAAAAAAAAAAAAAAAAGTCATTCAATGGAGACAAGATAGCCTTTATCCAGCTAAGAAATCCAATTAGCAAAACTGGATTACCCTTCATTCCAAAGAATGAAATTAGACCCTTATATACCATGTACAAAAATTAACTTGAAATGGACCACAGACTTAAATGTAAGAACTAAAACTACAGTTCTTGGGAGAAAACACAGAGAAAAATCTACCTGACACTGATTTTGTGATATAATTACAATATAAATCCAAAACACTGGCAATTTAAAAAAAAGGAGATAAACTGGACTTCTTCAAAATCAAGACCTTTTGTACATTAAAAGATACTATCAAGAAAGTACGAAGACAACCTAGGAAATGTTTCCAAATATTTGCTAATCACATATATGAAAAGGGATTGATATATAGAATATACAAAGAATTCCCAAAATCCAACAACAAAAAAACAAACAACTCAATTTAAAAAGAGCAGACATTCCTCTAAAGAAGGAAAACAAATGGCTAAAAAGTATATAAAAAGATGTTCAATGTCATTAGTCGTTACACATATGCCAATCAAAACCACTATGAGCTACTAGGTCACAGGCATAGCAAAAAAAAAGCAGCCAAGAAACAAGCACCGCCAGGATGCAGACAAAGTGGAATCCTCCAGCACTGCCCATGGGAATGTAAAATGGTACAGGAGATAGGGAAAGTTCAGAGGTTTCTCAAAAGGTCAGACATATCATAGAATTACCGGCAGAACCAGAAGTCCCACTCCTAGGTATTTATAAGCAAGAGCTGAAAGCAGAGACTGGTGCAGATATTTGAACACCAATGTTCATAGCAGGATCATTCACAAAAAGTGAAAATAACCCATAATAACAGACAAGCAAGATGTGGTATAAACATACCAGGGATAGTATTCAACCATAAACAGTAACGAAGTTTTGATACATGCTACAACATAGGGACCTTGAGAACATCAAGCCTAGCATGTGAGCTGACACAGGACAGATACTGGTGATTTCACGTAGCTGGGTTACCTACGTAGAATAAGCAAGTTTACAGACACAGAAAGAAAAACAGATTTCCAGGGTCTGGTGAGAAGAAAGAGTTAGTGGGGACACAATTTTTGCTGGAAATGATGAAAAAATTTTGGGCACAGATAGTGGTGACAATATTGTGCACGTACTTAATGCCAGCAGATAGCACAGCAGTGAATGGTTAAAATGATATCATTTAAGTGTATTTTACCACAATGAAGAAGAAAGTAAAAAGGAACTTTCATCCATTATGATTGTTTTGTTCACTGGCTCAAAGCCCTGGCAAAAGAAAAATATTAATTTCAAATTTTGAAATGGGTCAAAATTAGGTAATACACCTTGTATTGGCACACCAAGTATATTAGATTTTTTTGGAGAACATTTGTCCAAAATAAGTGTAGTGTCCAATAGCAAAAACAATTTATTGCCTTTGTAGATTATCTCAGGATTTGCAACAATAAATCTTACACCTGAAAAACATCCTCAAGCTTAAACAACTAAGTAATGTCTGATTTATCATTAACTGAAAGGCAGACAGATTTTAGATAGTGTTTCTTCAGGACATCCTCCCAATCATTTCCAAAGTCATAAATCGACTTTACATGCAACAGCTGCTGTATGTCTGCTTACTAAGTCATAGAGAATATTCCCTGTGTTTTACTTTCTCTGTATAGTAAAAATAATGAGATTCAGTATATTTCTGTTCATTAGTCTCTTACCCGCGAACACAGACAACTGCTTCTCTGGAGATTCCGCCTCTTCTTTTGTCACTCTGGCTTTTGACATCCCAGCCATTTTCTTGTATCCTTTTTTGGCCTGATCTACCAGGAGCTGAAATTCATTCTGATGTTTTCTACCTGAAATTCAAAAGATCTCCATAAAGAAGTAGTACAAAAGTCAAACATCTCCAAACAGCAAAGGAGGGGACAGGCTTGCTCAAGAACCGCAGCTCAGCAGCCACGGTCCACGGACTCAGAAACCAGCAGCAGAGGGCTACAAGCCTGTCCGTCTTATCTTCTCCCTTCCTCAGATACAAACAAGGAAACGTGATACCCCAGCCTGCTCCTGTATGCTTCTCCCCCAAACCCACACACTAGAAAGCCTCCGGAAGAGCAGGAAAGAAGCTTTCGCAAGCACACCCGCGAGACACCATTCTAAACCCCAAGTCAAAAGACAGTACACTAAGATGAAGAATATTAATAGGATGCAAAAGCAGAAGCCTCTCGGAAAGCCAGGTCACAGAAACGAAGGCTGGACACGTCAAGTCCCTTCTTCCTCACATTCCTCGCATGCAGCTCACAGACCCTGCCACTAGCCACCACCTTCCTCACCCTGGGAATCCCAGTGACACCACCTGAATATCCCTCTAGCCTGACCTCTAGTCACAGTGCTTCTGTGCATTACTGGGTCAAGCACAGCCGGTCAGCCAGGACAGGGACTCTCGGACAGGTATCTGGGGTTCTCCACCACAGCTCAAGCAGCTGAGGTGACACTTTATCTAGCAACCCGAGACTTAAGTCAAGGCTCAAAAGCAACGCCGTGAATCCTGGAAAAACACATTTGAGAAACAATGCCTGGTGGAGAGTTTTGAGGCCTTTTTCCTGGAGCCAATGCTAACAATAACTGAGTGGGGGAAACTTGTGCCTCAGTTAGAAGCGCTGCATTTCCTCAAGCTGCCCTTCCAGGACACCGTGTCACCCTTTGAGCTGGGTTACAGCGGGCGGCCGGGGGAGCAGCGCTTGTCTGTATACCTGCAAAATCCTGTCTGGTGAAGGTTCTATCGACCTCCCTCCCCCACTGTGGAGGAATCCAGTTTTGCCTCCACTTGCACATTCTTTCCAATATTCCTGATCTATATATCTGACTGCTCTTTGGAGATCAGAGGGAGACAGTTCCTAATTCCAATATATTTATCTGCATGGTCTACGTATGAAAACTCCAAGTGAAACTAATGTGTTGGGTTGGAAAGTGGTAAATTTTAAATATGAGACTTAAACTTTTAGCAAAAGCAATATAGGCTGGTCATAAAGATTACTCAGAAAATTTGGCTCTTTACATAAGGGTAACATCTTGTCTAGCTTGTATCCAAGTGAGGTAACTTCAAATCCTATTTAACTGAAGGCATTTGAGGAAAAATCACTTTGCACTTGCTCAGCTCCCTGCAGTGCAGGGCTTACACCAGCTGTCAGGATGGACTTTTTGCTAGGCCAGGGCAGCACAGCTCAATGAGGTCTAGCAGCTGAGTTGACCCCTCCAGGCCCTTTGCTTAATAAGGCCACTCCTGAGTTTACACACGTAGTAAAGACTTAAGAATCACTCAAGAAACTTGCTAAAGTAGTCTCTGTAACACATGAGGCTTAAAGACCTCTTCTGAAGAAAGAGATTTTGTTTTTCAGTCTAATTTCCCCTATAGCTAAGGTGGGAACCAGAAAGTAAAGGCAGTCACCTCTCTGGCCATGCCCCAAGAAGTCCACAACCCTGCTCAAAACACAAGAAATGCCAAGAGATGGCAGCCAACAAACTACCCTTGTGCATCCCCACCTCGTTTCAGGAGCTCTGCCATTTGGCCAGGAGCGTGCAGAGTTTAAAATCTCAGTTCTGCTGGTTACATGCCCTGAATTTACCTTTGAAAAATTTTAAGTGGCTGAGATAGCTGTGGGAGCTGGTAAGTCCACATTCAAGCAATTCATATTCTTCAAGATTTTTAATACTTCAATCATACCACCCTGTCTTCCTCTCCACACTGAAATAACCTTTCCTAGGGCCAACTCAGCCCTTCACTCCCTGACCACAGAGCTCCTCCTTCTTGGACCAGCTCTTACAGTCAGTCTCAAGGTCTGCATCTGAGCCCAGGGCTGGCACCAGGCTCTCCCAGGACCCAAGCAGCTATAAACAGATGGAGAACTGAGCACCAGTTATGGTTAATGCTGGTTTTAATTTTTCTTTGACCCATGGGTAATTCAGAAGTACGTTACTTAGTTTCCATATATCTGGCCATTTTCCAGAGGACTCTTTTGTTACTGATTCCTAATTTATTTCTCACAGTCTGAGAGCATTACTCTATATGCTGAAGACACAGACCAAGCAGACCTTCCTCAGGTCCCAAGGATCTCTGTGTGGCTCTCTCCTCCCCAAACTGAGCTCCCGTGGGCCCCCGTAGTGCAGTTCCTTCTGATTTCACCAGGCTCGCCCTGGGACCCCTGCCTGCACGACCACCTGGAAAATCTCAGGCTCACCTCAAGTGTCCCCATCTCTCAGAGATCCTGGCCTTCGCTAGTCAACGTCCAGCATCTGAGAACCCTGTCCACGCTTCCCCACTAACCTATGTTTTGGAGGCAGAGGGCGTGTGTATATGTCAGGCCCCTTAATCTATGCTGGCCTGGAGCAGAGTTCCTTAAATTTTAATCTGCACTCTGACACATATCGATAGAAAGAACGCACAAAAACAAGAGCTCTTCGGTGTCCGTGATCATCCAAAAGGATGTAAAGAGGCTTGGAGGAAGAGGGGTGTGGCTCAGAGGGGGGGAGCACCCCAGAACTCAGTCGCAGCTCTGTTAACTGTGTGCACTTCTGCAGGTACTACTAGATTGGCAAATCACTTGAGATGCTTCTTGTAAGCACAACCTACTTTCTGTTGTTGCTAGGCAGACTCATCTACTCATGCCTGATTCTCTGTTCTACTTAGATATCCACTAGAAATCAAAACGCAGACAAAAAAGGAATTTAGATGGCTTTGCCTGTCCACAATCCTCCCAACCTCCATCTCAGCAAACAGCACCATCCATAACCTGCTGCTTAAACGGAAGACAGGCGTCATCCTTGACTCCCCTTTCAGCCATGCCCCTACTAAACCATCAGCGAGTGCCACTGGCCTACCTAGCACGCCTACTGCCGGTGCCCATTTCACATGCGCACGGCTGCCACTCTAGAGGATCTCCGCCCAGCGCAGCCTCGCTTCACTCGGGCCTCCTCCCTCCAGGAGGCCTCTCTGACCACTCGCTCTAGAATAGCAACCCACCTGGTCTATGCTTGTCTTATGTTTCTTCACAGCAGGTGAGCACTGACTACTACTAACTCACTTGCCTGTGGGCTGACCAGAGACTTAGTCTCAAGGGCATGTTCCCAATACTACAATGTCTGGGATGCAGTACTTGGTGTGTGACTGGCAGTAATATGGCTTCCATGAAAAGCCTCTGGACTAGTTTTTATACTATTTCTTACTGCCTTACAATTCATTCTCTTCTCAACAGGTATCATGATCTTTCTCAATGGAGATAAAAATCACGTGACTTCTCTCGCTAGAACCTGCGGTGGCCCCCGCTATTCTGAGATGCCCTGCACGTTGGGCCCTGCCCCCGTACACTACCCCCTGCCACCCAGACTTAGGCCGGGCGCACCTCCCTTGTGCGGGCTGCAGGGCTCTGCTTCAGATGCCCTCCTGCCCGAAATATTCCTTCCCCAGCCCTTTTAAGAACTGTCTATTTTTAGACAATTGACTACTCTCAAATGTCAGCTTCTCCAGAAAAGCCTTTATCTGACCACCTTATCTAATGCATTGGTAACTTCTATCAAATTACTGTTTTCTCTTCACTACAGCATTGCTACCTAAAACTGTGTTGTTATAATCTGCCGATTTATTTTGTTATCTGCTATTAGAGGGTAAGTTCCAAGAGAAGCGAAATCTCGGTCTCTCCCCCACTGTTTGTCCTCAGTCATAGATTGTCAGCTGGCGTATAGATGCTCAGCAAATATTTACTGAATTAATGAAAACCGAATGCAAGAACAAAGGGACTAATTAAACTCTGCCAAAATGCCCTGCTGACGTCAAATCTAGCTGGGACTGCTAGGAAAAATCCAGGCGACAAGCAGCACATGCACTGCAGTGTTTTGTGTTTGTTTATTTCCTGGAAGAGTACAAAACGATTTTTCACCCAAGTAGAGAGCATGAAAAGACCAATATATGTCTCTCATGGCAGTTAGATAAGTAGAGTAACTTACTATCAGGCTAAGATTCTGACTCTTACTGGAGGAATTCAGTCTTGATTAAGGAGACATAACCATGACTCATTTAGTTCAACCTTCATATCAAATACTTTCCAAGGATATGCAATGAAAGTTCTAACTAACCTATTTCACTGTTTCTTTCGTTTATTGAAAGAAAGGAATGAATACACATCTATCTAGGAGACCAGCAAAGATAAACCATTGCAAACTACCAAAGTAGCCCATTCATAAAGTTAAGCTTTTTTTTAAAAGATTTATTTATTTATTTATTTATTTATTTATTTATTTATTTATTTATACAAGAACCAGGGTACAGGCCAGATTCGCGGGAGAGTGAGAGGACTCACCAGAGACAGAGCAGGGAACAGAACAGGCAGATTGACGAAATACACTGCTGAGGGGAGCAGCAGGCGCCAACAGGAGAGGTCTGCCGCGCCATGTGGGACCCTTGCCATCTGGCCGGGATCGAACCGGCGCTGCAGAGGCTGCGGACAGCTTCACAGTGCTGCGCTCAACCGCCTGCGCCACCAGGAGCTTCACAGTGCTGCGCTCAACTGCCTGCGCCACCAGGGGAGGCCCCATAAAGTTAAGCTTTTTTAAAGCACTATAATCTGAGGCCAAAGCTTACCCTGCAGAGAAGAGGCTCCTAACACACGAGGTTCTCACTCTGATGGAGCATGGCCCAGCACACAGGGCTGAGGCTTGAGCAGACAGCCGGGCTGCACTCACTCTCCAGTTCTGTCCTTTACCAGTCAGCTGGGCAACTTACCCAGTGCTTCCGAGTCTCAGTTGCTCCCTCTATAAGGGGACAATGCCCACTTCCCAGACCTGCTGGGAGGACAGCTAAGCTAAC